GGGGCGAAACCGGAGGATCTAGAGAAAACCCACGAGGTTGGATAGGCGACTATACTCCTTGTCACGTACAACCGGGGAATCGAAATCACGCCAGTTGACTCAATGACAGACCTTATAATACAACACGCACGCGATAACCATTCGGCCATCCAACCCTTCTCTTTTCCAAAAAGGGAACGGAATCGAAGAGAACTCCTAATCGTCTCCTACCTATGCTAGACTAAGCCTATTAATTTTGGCTCCACTGGCAAGTTTCTTAAGAAACACTTGCCTGCGATATTACCTCATGTTGAAGCGGGCCTTAAGACCAAACGAACTGCTAAAGACCCCTACGCGCATGCGCATTATTGAAATAAAATTGTACCATATGTTAGTCCCGAAATGACTTGGTTTGTGCTGAGTGGATGTTAAACCCCGTCTCTCTCTCTCTCTCTCTCTCTCTCTCTCTTTGTAGAAGACCTAACTTGGGTTCAGATTACCTTTACCCCTCTTTAAAGAGTTAGGGTTAGAGTTAGTATTCTCCAAAATACTCATTTATATAAAGCTGCCATTGTGGACTCAACTTCGATCCAATTTACTGATTTACTGTCGGAAATTCCCGAACCTCCAATTATGTTCTCCAACTAACAATAGGGCTACTTTCAGTTTACGTAACCTGACGTACGTAACGGACTCCATGTAACAATTTTCAAGGACGCCAACGAAGTGTCTTAATTACGTGGCCATTGTAAAATTACATGGGATTACGGAAGATACCGAAGACTCCCGACTGGTCTGGATAGTGGATAATCATCTTATAGATGTTAAGAAAGCGACTCTGTGTTAATCCCTCTATTAATTATGACACCATCTGTGTGTAATGGATTATGTTTGTGACAGGTGGTGTGGCTATCGGACACATTTACCTTCAGACGAACTTATGACTTGGTCTTCACCCATGAACCTCTGACAGAATATATCGCTTACCTCATTAATATATCTTACACTACATCAGCTTCTGCTGATTCGTTGCAGACGTTATTGTGCTTTGTGGCGGATCACGATGGGGGGGGGGCGTTAGGCCTTTATGAGTTACTGGCTCATGTTTCAAAATTTCAATGTTATATTCGGGTCTAGATATGCGCCACAAATAACCATTGATACTCTGATTTTTCTCGGGCGGGGGAGAGATTAAAGCCCCCATCCCGACGCCTAATTAAATATATGGTTTGTAGTTTATCAAGACTCCTTCGGGTGTAGTTTTTAGACTCGATTCAACATTCAGTCAAAGAGAGAGAGAGAGAGAGAGGTTTGACATACCCTCATGAGAGAGCGGGAGGGGGGAGTCCTATACTCGTATGGGGGTTGGATGGTCGAATGGTTAGCACGTGCGTGCTGTATCGTAAGGCCTGTCATTGAGTCAACTGGCGTGGTTTCGAATCCCCGGTTGTACGTGACAAGAATTAGGGTCGCCTGCCCAACTTCGTGGGTTTTCTCCGGGTCCTCACGGTTTCCGCCCACAGCTAAAGACCCCTACGCGCAAGCGAATTATTGAAATAAAATTAAACCATATGTTAGTCCCGAAATGACCTAGTTTATGTCGAGTGGACGTTAAACCCCATTTCTCTCTCTCTCCCCCTATACTCGTAGCTGTGTGAGGAAACCGGAGTAGGGTAGAGGAGGGCAAGTTGATCCTCGGGGTAAGTTGAGCCACCCCTTCTCCAGTAAAGATACACAACTTACCCCTCTCTCCCCTACCCGGAGAAAACACACGAGGTTGGACAGACAGGCCCTCTCCTTGTTACGTACAAGTTGGGAACTGTATGGTCCAAATCACACATAGAAAAGGGACCCCCAAGACTTGCGAACAACTCAAATACTTGATCATTCTTAGACACTCACAAATGATAAATTTTACCGCTACGCTTCATTTTCAAAGACAAGCCGTAAACATCGCGCTGTTTTTAATTATTTATTTTTACTGTTTTTCTCGTTCAGGACATGTTCTAAATTGTGCCCCATTTCTATTTGGAGTAGGAATGGGGGCCACGGTGACACAGTGAGTAAGACGTTATATCGATAACCAGGAGGCTCAGTGTTCGACCCCTGTGTTGGGACAACGTATAGTCGTTCGGATGGGACGAAAAATCGAGGTCACGTAAAAGATCCCTTGACAGCAGAAATTCGATGTAAGCGTAGGCCGCAGCGCCCATGTTCGGGCAAAATGTCCTTCATAGCATGGCGTATGCCCGGTTTCATTAGTCCAGTAGGACATTAAACCCCATTTCATTTCACAGAGAGAGAGAGAGAGAGAGAGAGAGAGAGAGGGGGAGAGGGGGATAGAGAGGGCGTATCGGTCTCTAAACCACTCGTCCCACCCTCGTAGTGGTAGAAATAATTAAATAATAACTGTAAACCGGTGCAACAATAAACTATGTAGTAAACCATTCGTCCTACCCTTGTAACATTAGTAGTAGTAGTAGAAATAATTACAATAAACCCTTGCACCAATATGTAAGTTAATGAACAATAATATATTGATCTTGTTTCAGGTATTTAGTCTATGTAAATATACTAGTTTCATATGTACCGGGTGTTTGTTTATTTGATATATATGTTATTACGTCAATATGATAATATGATAATAGAGAGATGGAGAGTATATTGGCCTGGAAAAATGATATTATGCCTGCAATACACGAGTCAACATCCTAACACCTGGTTCAATCACACTATTATCAGTTGTATATTACATAGAATCTGTTTAAAGTGGGATTCCCTGATTGTATGTGACAAGGAGTAGGACCGTCTGTCCATGCAACCTCGTGGGTTTTATCCGGGTCCTCCGGTTTCACCCCACTAATAAAGACCCCTACGCGCACACGAATTATTGAAATAAAATTGAACCATGTGTTAGTCCCGAAATGACCTAGTTTGTGTCGAGTGGACGTTACTCTCTCTCTCTCTCTCTCTCTCTCTCTCTGTTTAAGGTGGATAATACAAACACCACAGGGTCTTGAGAATAAAGGGGCGGGGCATGGTTAATTTTAGTACCGTTGTCATACATAAATTTCGAAAACCTATGCGGTTCTAGAGGAGAGCTAATAGAGGTTGGAAACATAAATGAACGTGACCAATTTTACGGTTTATAATATATACTGACATACATGACGTTTCAATAAGTATCGTATATTCATATCGTTATCAAGCATGTCGTGCGTAAACCATATAATTTTATTGTTATCTTAATTATTTACTTAATTAAAGACGCAATCGGGTCTTTTAGAGCCCCAGTGGTGATGTTAAGGACCATTCATAAAGGCTCCAAGTTAAGTTATGTTGTAGGCCTAATCTTCAGCGCCTAATTGGACCCCCACCCCTCTCCTTAAATGTTTGAGATACAGCATATCCTGTCAGTAATATATAAATTGAGAATAGTTTATTTGGCTGTACATCAAATAGGTGCCATATGCTACAGTGGTTATATGTGGTCATTGGTCAATAGAGCACTGACCGCCACATTACATTGTATATATACGTCTATACATATATTACATGTTTGGCTAGAGAGAGAGAGAGAGAGAGAGAGCTAGAGGGAGAGGGGGATAGGGAGAGGGAGATAATTACATGTTTGGCGAGAGAGAGAGAGAGAGAGAGAGTTACATGTTTGACGTTGGCGAGAGAGAGAGAGATAGAGAGAGAGAGAGGGGGGGTACGTCCACTCGATACAAACCAGGTCATTTCGGGACTAAAATATGTCAGACCTTACGATACAAAACACACCCGCTAACCATTCGGCCGTCCTGCCTCCCCCGGTACCCCACTCCTACATGTTTGGCTTATTCATAATATGCAGCTTTATTTATGTCAAGTCCACTTCCACAATTCAATCGTATATTATTCTGAAATGACATTCCTACTATACTTTCCTGCACCGACTCACATACCAGGATTTCACAGCGTGGTTGCCAGGATGGAACGAAAAAGCGTGCACGTAAAAGATCGAACCATTGATGTACAGTTATAAAGTATATGTCTATAGGCCGTATAGTTGTACGCTGTCCGGGCGAAACATTTCTCGCATAGCAGACTGCATGGCGTATATGCCGGTCTTCATTGGTCCAGTTACGTGCAGAAAAATAGGACGTCAAACTCCTCCATTTCATTTCTGCACCGACTGGGCTAATGTAGACGTGAATTTTAGATTTCACGCTTGCTTGCTTCGGTTGACCACCCGTCAAAATAATATTATCGGCCTTAAAAATTGTGTAGACCATATAAGCGATTATCTCTTGGGCGAGTGAGGGGTGGGGGCAGGGCCGGTGATTAAAAACTTCTATGCACGACAGGTACACGGACTTTAACATGAATAATCTCCTCGGGCACCTGAAGCATAGGTGGCATATATCATGATCTTATAGCCGGGAACACTTTTGTTTTTTGTTTTTTAAGGGGGGAGGGGGTGTATCAATTTTATTTTTTTTACAAATATCCAAACGGGCCTTTACATCAGGTACCATAAAACAAGTACACGCCGTTTAATTGTCATGTTTTAACGTCTGCTTCCGCAATAATTGCACATTGTGCTATATTATACTGTTTCATTTATTGCCTACTGTGCTATCATTTGATTAGCCGCTGGCTTCGTTTATATTTTTAACCATAACTGTAATTGTTTGAAAACAAATGACACTCAGCCCCTAAGAGCACGCCTGGCCGTGAATTATTGAAAGCTTTCACGTGTGGTCTACCGGTAAATCGTCGGCTTTCTTTCATGTGGTTTCCCCAATCACTGCAGGTGTGTCCAAACTTCTGAATTGTTTGTTTTCGATCAGGCTTGTTTTTAAATTAAAATCTCGGTGAGTAGATATTATATTCAAAGTAGCAGACGTCAACAGACTGTTTTGATAACTGGTTTTTATTGATATATTTTATGACGTAGTATATTGATTGCAATAAACACCCCCACAATATAAAATAGCTTCGTCCAATTTTCATGTATTATCTCCCCTGCCAGCTGGAACGAGGCTAGAAATGGCTGACTTCAGCTGATCGCTGACGAGTCACTGATACATTTTGAGGAAAAATTCGATATGAATTAGAATAATTTAATTTATTTAAGTGGAAAAAGTGATAGCTGTACCATTGCCAACATGTCGGGCTTCTTCGGTCTGGAGAATAAAGAGGTCGTGCGGATCAAAGTTAAGGTAATATAATTTTTCCTACACAGCGATAAAAAATAATCGATCGAATTCAGATGCCGATGGGCCGACGAAAATATTATCAGAATTGTACATAAGGCCTATCACCACTTCTGCTGTATAATTGAAACCGTTATGATATAAATATTCACGAGCAGTTAAAAACACGCAAGCGTTAGGCCTAATCGTTTTGGCAAATTTTCGTTGGAGTTTAAATTTGCCAATGCCTTTGGTTGGCAATGCATACGAAGTTAAGCTGACTCGGGTCAGTAGGCTATGACTATGTTCTGGGAAAACTAGACAGAATTTCACCTGTTAATTAATCTGGTATAAGACCCAAGAGCATTATTTTTCAAATACATATTTCCAATAAATTTGTTCATTTTGTTTGTAGACCTACTGTCACTGTGCAGAGAGACAAACAAAATGTGAAAAAAACCAATATTTAAGAGTTCATTGCAGTTATATGTCTAGGCCTTTCTCTATACACACAAATGTCTAAAACGAAAAATGTGCAGACTACCAGTACGAAAAATTCAAGTTTGTTATCAACCATGTAAAAATTTACTGTCATTAAAATCAAAATGATTGTTTCCTGCAGTTCAGGAAGAGTAGCCCATATGATATAGTTCGTCCAATTTTAAGCAGCGTACATGCGTAATACATCTTTACTAATAGGACTACTAATGAATAGAATGTCGAAAGTCAACGAAAAATACTTTAAGTTTAATTTAGACTATAGATTTTGCAGTTATGCGATTTTTAGATATGTTCTTATAGCCACATGTAGGCTTGGACATGTGGCTTTATTTGCACATTGTCATACTGTACACTGCAAAGTAATAGGTTTGCAGATGAAAGGTTTTTACATGGCCAGGAATAAAGTCGTGTTGTGGCTTTTCTCTAGATTTTTTGACTTCCTCCCCTGCACAAGCTAAGTTTCAAAATTAAAATTTTAAAATATACACTTCTGTTGAACCCTACTTGCAAGCGAATTATAGAAATAACAAATTGTACAATTTTTTGATATCGAAATTGTACCATAGCTTGATCTCGAAATGACCAAGTTTGTGTCGAGTAGACATTTTTTTGTGATTTCTTAAATTTAAATTGCTAAAGAGACCATGCTATTATCTTCCACTGGGCTGAACTTCCTGGAAATAATAAAGCATAAACACAGCGTTAATTTATTTATTGTTTTGAAGAAAAAAAATATATGAAACTGAAAGTGTGAAAAATATTTTTTAATGTTAAATATTTCCATCTTCCTTAGCCCCCGTTTGGTGCAAAATATTGGCATGTAAACCTGATTTCTTTACATTCCTAATAGAAAGTCTAAAAGTTGTCATGTCTCGTTATAAAAAAATTACCCAAAACTTAAACACATTAAAATAAAACAAAAATACTTCAAACACTTGGCCATAATTGTAAACTAGAAGTGAACTTATTACTCAAACTTATGAACTATAATAGAATTTAATTGAATACAAGTTCTAATAGTAATGGTGGAGAGGGGGGGGTCGAGTTGTGTAACACATGCTGTAGATCATTGTGGTCTGGCATTGTGTCAAGTGGTGTGGTATGTCTGGCATTGAGTCAAGTGGGGTGGTATCATCCTACATTTGTATGTGACGAGGAGTAAGGCCCTCTGCCTAATCTTTTGAGTTTTCTCTGGCCCACTAGATGTGTAAATGAATTATTGAAATAAAATTGAACCAGATGTTAGTCCCGAAATGACCTAGTTTGTGTTGAGTGGATGTTAAACCTCATCTCTCACTACACTGTATACCTCTCTAATAGTCAGCCCCATGATCCTGAAGCAACGAGCGTGAGTTTTACAACATCTAGCTTGATAAGACGTACGTACATGTAGTTAAGGCGAGACCATGCCTTCTATTGAAGATGTGGGGGGGGGGGGGGCGGATGGCCGAATGGTTAGCACGGGCATGCTGTATCATAAGGCCTGTCATTGAGTCAACTAGCATGGTTTTGAATCCCCGGTTGTACGTGACAAAGAGTAGGGTCGCTGGTCCAACCTCGTGGGTTTTTTCCGGGTCCTCAGGTTTTCCTCCAACTGCTAAAGACCCGTACGCGCAAACGATTATAGAAATAAAATTGAAACATGTGTTAGTCCCGAAATGACCTAGATTGGGTCGAGTGGATGTTAAACCCCATCTCTCTCTCTCTTTCTCTCTCTCTCTCTATTGGAGATGAGTGAGCCCACAATACAAACATATATGTAGACAAAACAAACATGCCTGATTGTAAGCCATCATAATGGATAATGTTTGTCTATCAATTATTAAACTCTAACAGCATGTTGATGTAAAACATTTATACACACAATTGTAAGAAGTACATTGTACATGTTAGGCAAATGGAGATAGTTTGTCAATTCAATTATAGGCCTGCAGGTGTGTGTTTGCCTGTCGTGCTAATAGCATGTTTGTTAAACATAAACAATTTCTCGATGTCAACTTTACATGTACATGTTGGTCAGACAGCACGTGAGTTTGTCTCGGGCTTGTGATCATAGTCACGGATGAATGATCTCAGTTGTCACATGTGAGATTATTTATTTAATTTGTACAGGTGACTTGATAAAGTCGCTAATCAGCTGATTGTCCAGGTAAACAATTAAGATTCTCTGTGACCTTCAACTTATTGTTTATTACTAGTCTATATAGCAGTTAATTCCTGTTTTTACCGCTTGTTCATATAATATTCTGTGAAGTTTAATTTGTCCTTGTGAATCAAACTTGCATTATACTAAGATTTAGATAAAGAACTGACCATTCTTGCTATAATAGTTTAAAAATAGATAATGCAAAATGAATATTGAAAATTTCATTCAAAATCAGTGTTTGAAGTTTTGATGAGATGTGGCATATATTGTTTATTATCGTAGCAATGGTACTTGTTAATCAAGACTCCGTTCGATTCACCATTATTAAATCAGATTATTAAACTAAATTAGTTAAGAGTTTAATAAAGAGTTGGTCATTCTTGCTATAATGATTCAAGAAATGATGATAAAAAAAGAAAATATTGGAAATTTCATTCAAATTACTTCATACTCAGCCAAGTTATCATTGTTTGTAGTTTTCACAAGATGTGTGCACAGTGGTAACCGGGGCACTGGTATAATCGGTACTTAGCTTTGCTTTCCCATTTTTAAATTAAATCTTTAAATGGCGAACCGTTTAAATCTAGTTAAAATCTCGAGCATCCGATGCCATCAAAAGTAGATTATGGTCTTGTTTGGTAAATAAATGTCTAATTAATAATTTAGATTATAACATAATTTGAGACCTAAAGAAAGACCAGCAATAGACAGATTAAGCTCTTGCATAATGTTTTTTTTAAATGGCGATCATTTTTCTGTCCATTGACATCTCTGCCATTTGATGTTCTACCGAGTTGATTATGGACTTGTCATGTTAATAAATGTCTAAATGATAGTTTATATAACATTTGAAATAAAATCCTACAATAGGCAGATTTAGCTCTTGAATAATTAATGAATGTGTAGACATTATACCAATTTACAGAAAATATTCTCTGTTTGACATAGATCAACAAGTTTTCTGAGCGTGACTAACCGAGTATTAAATGATACATGATATGAACAATTACTACTAGAGATGTTAATATGATGATAATTAACCATTATTTTATATACAATGATAAAAATATCAATATTCCTGTCTCTTTCTGTGTTAGCATAGTGTGTGTTGCATCATAAAGTCTCCCATTGAGTTAACTGGCATGGCTTCAATTCCCTGGTTGTACGTGACAAGGAGTAGGGACGCCTGTCTAACCTCGTGGGTTTTCTCCGGATCCTCTGGTTTCCTCCCACTGCTTAAGACCCCTACGCGCAAGCGAATTATTGAAATAAAATTGAACCATATGTTAGTCCTGAAATGACCTAATTTGTGTCGGGTGGATGTTTAACCCCATTTCTCTCTCTCTCTCTCTCATATGTTCCACGCAGTCCTGGGGGGTGGAGGGGAGGGTTGAATGGCTGAATGGTTAGCATGTGCACATTGTATCATATGGTCTGTCATTGAGTCAACTGGCTTGGTTTCAATTCTCCGGTTGTACGTTTAAAAAAAGGAGTATGGTCTCCTGTCTTAACTTTGTGGGTTTTCTCCAGGTCCTCCAGTTTCCTCCCACTGCTAAAGACCCCTACCATGCAAGCGAATTATTGAAATAAAATTGAACCATGTGTTAGTCCCAAAATGACCTAGTTTGTGTCAAGTGGACGTTAAACCTCTTCAATGTTATACTGTACGTTATACTGTGGTTGTCATATGGGACAAATAGAATCTAGCATGTTCCATGCAGTCGGAGTGGTGGGAACCAACATGGACACCCTTAAGGATATAAATATCGGGTTTTTATACCCCCTACATGATCAAGTTCCTCATGTCAAGTATTTATTTATATGAACTTGATGTTCTAGTGTTTCAGTCTGACCCAATATTAACCCCCTCCTCATGTATACACTACCTAGAGATAAGACATGTGGAGTATTTAGTTTAAGCAGGTTTATTTGTTTGTTCTATATCTGTTATCTATAGTAACCTCACTACACCCTGTTTAACTCCCTATTCTACTCCCCCCATGTTTGTTCACTTATTTTATCATGTACTCTGTGGTTTAAAGGGCCATTATGGAAGATTAGATAAAGGGCTGACAGTTCTCACTATAATAGTTAAAAACTAGATAATGTAAAGGAAAATTGATGAAAATTTCAGTCAAATTGATCCACTCTAAACCGATGATCATTACTAAAGTCGGTACAATAAAATACATAATCTCAATCATCAATTGCCTGATTTAATCATGAATGAGCGTAGAGCAGCAGATTGGATTCCAATCCAGTAAATATTGCACGCTAGCTATGACATCGAGAGTTGATTATGGTCTTGATAAGTTAATTAATGTCTAATTAATAATTTAGATAACATTTCAGGTTACGGCCTAAAGAAAGACCTGCAATAGACAGATTTAGCTCTTGCATAGAGTATGTTTAAAGGGCCATTAAAAGAGCTGTTTAATTGTTTCAATGACATTCAATTTCTCATCATGTTTTATTCCTACTATATAATAACCAGGCCCCTGTTTCACAAAACGTTCTCTGATTTAAACATACATTATGCAAGAGCTAAATCTGTCTATTGCCGATCTTTCTTTAGGTCTGAAATGTTATCTAAATTATTAATTACACATTAATTAACTTATCCAGACCATAATCAACTCTTAATGTCATCGCTAGCCTGCGATATTTTACTCGATTAGGATCCGATTTGCTAGTCAACTTTCATTCATGATTTAATCATGAAATGGATAATCGAAACTATGTTTTTCATTTGCTAAATTCTCGGTTGAGAGTGGATCAATTTGACTATTATAGTGAGAACTGTCAGCTCTTTATCTAATCTTCCATAATGTATCTTTAAGTTAAGAATTTAACTATTATAGTGAGAACTGCCAGCTCTTTATCTATCTAATCTCTCATAATGTATCTTTAAGTTAAGAATTTACTCAAAATTGTTCACATTATTTTAACTAAAATATAGCCCTTTATAAAACTTCTGTTGTTTGAATGTATCAAATATACCAATAAGAAACTGTGTGCAAAGTTTTGAGTTTCTGGATCAAAGATATTTCTCATAAACAGTGATTGAAAGTTGAGTATGGTAAATTCTTCACTTATGTTTGAGAATGTTTTGTGAAACAAGGGCCAGTTGAAAGTTTCCTCTGTAATTCACAATCAGTAGGCCTAGTTGTATTTTCATAAAATTACATCTAAATATAACCGGAAGGTTTGGGGGGTAGATTTCCTTTCTGACTGAGAAACTTCCTCTGACGATGACATCGCCTATTGGGTTTTCTTCTTAAAGGCTCAATACCACCCTTGTTGTAACTGAATAATATGTCCCAATCTTTATTCTGGTCAACAAATTGTACTATTTTAGAATATTTCAATTAATTGATGATACAAATGTCATCTTAACACACCTTATTTAAAATTTTTGAAAAAATCAACATAATGGTTTGAAACGTCTAACATAAACCTTTTCAAATGAAACTTTGAGTTAAAAATATTTTCGAACCCTCTGGACAAGAAAAATAGGATGTAATGGATAATTTACACAACAGGTAGGACACTTAAACATCTAGTACTTAGATAGAGATATTATTTATTTTCTGGAGCTTTCAAGCCAGCAAGAGTGTTATTGTCCCTTTAATGAAAGACGGAACCGTGGGATTTCTCTGTGTCCTCCAGTTTCCTCCTATTGCTAAAGACGCCTACATGTACGTACAAACAAATATTGAAATAAGATTGAACCACATGTTAGTCCCAAAATAGCCTAGTTTGTGTTGAGTTGACGTTAAACCCCATCTCTCTCATCCTCCCCCCCCCCCCCCCTGCCTATCAGAACTGGCATCCGTAGGACCAGATAGATGCCATTGCTTGTGAACCTAGATGTAATGAAGTAAATAGTACAAATGGTTTGAACACCATTCAGCAGGGCCTGACTTTTGGACTGCCAAAAGAACTTTTACGTGCACGCCAATGTGTACACAGGACCTTGATATTTCGTCCCATCTGAACGACCATACATTGTCCCCTGCCAGGCACTCAGCACTGCACCACTGACAAAAGAGGAACCACGCCAGAAAGTCCTGATGAACTTTCGCGACCAACACAAGGATCGAACTGAGGTCCTCCAAGTACATGTAAGCGAGCCCAAGTCACTGTGGCTCCCGTTGATTATGAACACCATTACACAAGTTTTACCAGAAGTATTTAATTATAAAGATTTATTGACATTTGTACAAGTCACACACAGGTACATGTAATTACAGTGGATTTACAAATGTTTGAACACAAGTCATGTAACAGCAGTGGGTTTTTATTATCTGACCTGACTGACCACTGTCCACCATAAAACATAATTACAGTGGATTAATATAGTCCTGTAATTAGAGTGGATTTACAAAAGTTGCCTTTCTATTACCTAACCCAACTGACCACTGTCCATTAAACAGTATGGGCTGGTTCTACCGAACTCTTCACCTCACAGGTCATCTGGTTGATGATTTTATCAGTTATTAAAACTGCCTGATAGCTAGATGGTGATCATGAAAGGCTTAAGACTGAAATAAGGGCCATTTAGTCATGCTTCATTGAGAAATAAGGGCCATTTAGTTATGCTTGATTGAGAATTAAGGACCATTTATATGATCATGCCTGTAAGAGGATATGCCCATACCTACACCATAAACCCTTTGGGTTTAAGATACAACTAAGAAATTGTAAGCTGTTTTACATGTAGTCCAGTCCTACAACTAAAATAATTATTACTAAGCCTGCAATTCTCATTATTATGTAGAAGGGGTTGGATGGCCTGGTCGAATGGTTAACAGTGCTCGTTGTATCACAAGGTCTGTCATTGAGTCAACTGTCCCGGTTTCGATTCCCTTCTTGTACGTGACAAGGAGTACCTAGGGTCGCCTGTCCAATCTTGTAGGTTTTCTCCGGGTCCTCTTGTTTCTTCCCACTGCTAAAGACGCCTACATGTACGCTCAAGTGAATTATTGAAATCAAATTGAACTATATGTTAGTCCCGAATTGACCTAGTTTGTGTCTAGTGGATGTTAAACCTTGTTTCTCTCTCTCACTCTCTATTCTTTTTGTGGAAGGTACCTGGAAGTATTGTTTTGTTTTTAACTTCTGCTGGATAAACAACGTACATGTATGCATGAAATATATCAATCAGAAAAGACAAATATGGTTTAACGTTCTACTTTTCTGCACCACCGAAACAGATGAATACGGGCATATGATTATGATACTTGTACATGTATTTGTACGCCAATATGTACGTACACAGGTCCTTGGTTTTTTTTTGTCCTATCCAAACAACTGGACACTCTACTGCATGATTGACAAGGGGGAAAATAACTCAGAAATTCTGAGGACGTTTCTCCACCTATTCTGGGATAGAACCCCCAGGTCTCTTGGTTGTTGATGTTTAGCTCATGTGCATTGTATCATAAAGTCTGTCATTGAGACAGCTGTCTAGTTGTTCGGATGGGACGGAAAACTGAGGTCTCGTGTACATATTGGAGTGCACGTAAAAGATCCCTTGGTAGTTGGAATTCGATATAAAAGTAGGTCATAGTGCTGCTGCCCAGGCAAAATTTCCCTGATAGCACACTGAATGGTGTATGCCCGTCTAAATTAGCCCAATCGGAGCAGAACAGTAGGACGTTAAACTCCATTTCATTTCTATGAGGAAAGCAGGAGTTATATCTGATTTTATTTATATCAAATGATACTGAATGTCTGATAAATGATGATTTATGAATAATTGTGGATTATTAAAATAATAACTGGTAGTTATATCAAATTACTGGTTTATAACCGGTCATTACAGCTGATATATCACAGTAAATATTGGTTATAATACATCTATTTATAGATTGATAGAGCATTATTTATTCACACCACATGTATATGTAGTTTCTGTTAACCAGACACAACTGGTACAGTTATATTACTTGTGAGAAGTCTGGATGAAGATGGCTAGTTAATCCATGAACTGTTGGTCAAGGCTGACCACTGCCTGAAATCACTTCTGTGGTCACTTCTGTTGCTTTGATGATAACATAGTAACCTTTCAGGACCCTTTTGAACTCTCAACATGTTTTTTCCCAAATTATTAAGCACACAGATGTCAGATCTGAAATATAGGGATGTCATACACTCTTCTAGAATATACAACAGGTGCTTTATTACCTATTCTAAAAAATTCAACATATTAATTAATGACATGATTAAAATGCAAACCGTTTTTTGTCGACTACATGGAAATGGTCCCATTACCTGTGCATGAGACCAACTTTTTTGCGGGCGAAAACAAGTACAGTACATGGGAAACAGGCCTTGCAGACAAAGAGAGAGAAAAGAGGTTTAAAGTCCACCCAACACAAACTAGGTCATTTTGGGACTAAAATATTGTTCAATTTTATTTCAATAATACGCTTGCACGTACATGTCTTTAGCAGTAGGAGGAAACCAGAGGACATGGAGAAAACCCACGAGGTTGGACAGGTGACAAAAGTTCATTAGGATGCTTCCCCTCCTCATTCGTGATTACGACATGGTTTATGTGATGACATGGTTTCCATGATTGTGGCATGATTTACATAATTGTGACATAGTTGTAAAATCATTTTGTTTTTATTTTGTCAGAAATGTGATGGAATGATGCAGCCTGAATATAAGAAATTCTCCATAGATCCTCAGATTAACTCATTTGAGATGTTACACGGCATTTTAGCCAGAGCATTTGATATTCAAGGGTGAGTCAAATTTGGGTTCCGTTTGTCACCATAAGCCTTTCTTTTATACACCCTCATGAAAGCCTTTGTGCATTATTTTCATTTTTCGAAATATATCAAATTTATATATTACTATAGATTATTTATATTTTACTATAAGTTATTTATATTTTACTATAAGTTATTTATTTATATTTTACTATAAATTATTTATTTATATTTTACTATAAGTTATTTATATTTTACTATAAATTATTTATTTATATTTTACTATAAGTTATTTATATTTTACTATAAGTTATTTATTTATATTTTACTATAAGTTATTTATATTTTACTATAAGTTATTTATATTTTACTATAAAAATGTTGTATTTTACTATAAGTTATTTATATTTTAATTTTGCTATAAATTATTACTATAAATGATTTATAATTTACTATAAAGTATTTATAATTTATTATAAAGTATTTTTATTTTACTATAAGTTATATATATTTTGCTATAAGTTATATATATTTTGCTATAAGTTATATATATTTTACTATAAATTATTTTATGTTTTACTATAAAAAAATTATATTTTACTATAAATTATTTATATTTTATTATTTTCCAGTGATTTTACTATAAGTTATTTAGCTAAAGATAATGAGAGTCAAGATGTATATTTATCCATGTTATCAGACTGGGATCTGGATGCTGCTATACAATGTGCTGGGGATCCATGTCTTAGACTGAAAGTAGACTTGAAACCATTTGAAGAAGGTGAGTTAATATTGTAAGACCGTCATGTATATTATAATATACTAGACCTACTGCTCATGGTTGCTTTCACATGGTTCAGTTGGGACTCACAGTTGCTCAGTGAGCAAGACGTTGGCTCGATTACCTGGAGATCTTGTGTTGGTTCAGTAGGAAGTCACAGTCGCTCAGTGAGCAAGACGTTGGCTCGATTACCTGGAGATCTTGTGTTGGCCGAGAAAGTTTGTCAGGATTTTTCAGCGCGGATCTCCCTTATGAGTGGTGAAGGGCGGAAGGCCTGTCAAGAGACAATGTATAGTCGTTCAGATGGAACGAGAAACAAGGTCATTTGTACGTAAAAGAATGCTTAGCAGTTGGAATTTCTGTGAACTAATGTCCTAAGTTCGTGTCCTGGCTTTGCTTGAAATTACATGTACAAAGTCTCTGTGAACTAATGTCCTAAGTTCGTGTCCTGTCTTTGTTTGAAACTACATGTACAAAGTCTCTGTGAACTAATGTCCTAAGTTCGTGTCCTGGCTTTGCTTGAAATTACATGTACAAAGTCTCTGTGAACTAATGTCCTAAGTTCATGTCCTGGCTTTGTTTGAAACTACATGTACAAAGTCTCTGTGAACTAATGTCCTAAGTTCATGTCCTGGCTTTGCTTGAAATTACAAAGTCTCTGTTAACCAGTGTCTCAAGTTTACATTTTTGAAGTCAGCGCAGAGAAAGAAAGGATAGTTGTATGGTGGGACAAAAAACGGTTTACAATTACACACATAGCCTACCTCACCACGTAAATCTTGCTTTATTTATTATGAACATAAGATGATTTTCTTTAAGAATGAAACAGATTATCTACATTTACAGGTCTGGATGATTGGGATGTAATAGCCCCGAACGATATCCCACAACATAAAGTATCAACAGTATTAGATAAGGGATCTATTTTAGGGTCAATTACAGGAACTATTAGTAACCAAGTTGGTCGTACTGTCTCCAGCATGCAACGAGCTATGGGTAAGTTAAAGGTACAAGGGAAATATCATCGACCAACTCACACATTCCCGGTGTAACGAGTTAAAATTTTAACCCAATTCATATTAACATCTTCTTTTATTGGCATTTATATGTAGAATTGAACATATTAATTCAATTAACTGAAAACCAAGGTCTGTGATCTTTATAAATAATATCGTTTCCCCCCCCCCCCCCTTTAATGCCTGTAAGAGTTTCCAATGTGTTGGTTTAGTTGTAAATGGCCCCCTATAAGTTTTTATTGTATTTGATTGTTATTTTTGTTGCATATTCTGTATATATTTGTCTCCTATTCACATACCTGTATCATTTGCTTGATAAAGACGAGATTATCCTCGTCGAAACATCGCTTAGTATTAAACTCAGTAATTGTGTATCCATAAAATTGTACCTTGTGTACGTATTGACAATCCTAAATTTGCAGTGAAATATATGCTACCTGGAATTTGAGTTAGGAGCGATATAATTCTGTGAAAGTTCCTAGGGATTGTCTCCATTTGTCAGTGATGTGGGACAGAAGGCTTGGCAAAGAAGAGTGTCCAGTTGTTTGAATAGAACAAGAAGTCAAAGTCCTGTGTACAGATTGTCAACCTCTTGGCTGTTGGGATTCGACTTAAGAGAGGGGGGGTGGATTGCCGATAGGTTAGCGTGTGCACGTTGTATCATAAGGTCTGTCATTGAGTCAACTGGTGTGGTTTCGATTCCCAGGTTGTACGTGACAAGGAGTAGGGTCACCTGTCCATCCTCATGGCTTTTCTCCGGGCAACTCCGGTTTCCTCCCACTGCTTAAGACCCCTACATGCAAGTGAATTATTGAAATTAAATTGAACCATATATCAGTCCCAGAATGACCTAGTTTGTGTCGAGTGGACCTTAACCCCCCCTCTCTCTCTCTCTCTCTCTCTCTCTCTCACACAGAAAGTATGATGTTAAATCTGATTTTCTTTTCCTCTTGTATAAGTAGGCCTACTGTTGAGCCAATTGTATATCCTCCTTTTTATTAGCAGTTGGTGAAGAAACATCAGATGTTTTAAACCTTATTTTACAAGTTTTGTTCACATGATTTATTTAATTAATTAAGGCTTAATTAAGCCTTTTTCAAAAACCAACTCCAGTGATAGATCTTTCGCCGTCAGTGCTCCGAAATTATGGAATTCAATATCAAACGAAACCAAAAGCGCAAATTATATTTAAGGTTTTAAAAAGTATCTCAAAACCAAACTTTTTAATCAAATATACAACTGATTGAATACAGTTCTAGCTGTGTTTGTGTCAGACTTTTACCATGTGTACTAAATAATGTTCTCTGTTTTTTGTTTATGTCTTTTTTTATGGATTAATGTGTTGTGATTGTTGTAATTTTATATTAGTTGTTCTTATGTAAAGTGCCCGAGAACAGCTAGCTGAGTTGAATTGTTGGCACTATATAAATCAATTATTATTATTATTTATTTCTGTGTTTCAGGTTTGAAAGGTGACGATGAACAATATAAACCATCCAAACCAGCCATGACAGATTCCGAATTCCGTAATTATCTGGACAGCATCGGTGTTCTTATTAAACCGCAAGAGTTTCGATTGGGTATTTACCAAGGTGGAATCGAACCTTCATTACGACGTGTAGCGTGGCGCCATCTATGCAATATATATCCAGCGAATCTGAGTGGTAAAGAACGTTTTGACTACATGAAACAGAAGGAGAAGGATTATTATAAACTCCGCGACGAATGGAAAGAAAGGTTTCGAAATGACACCGCGACGGAAGAAGTGAAATATGTCGCTTCCATGGTAACCAAGGATGTTTTACGAACTGATAGGGGGCATAAATTCTATGCGGGGTCGGATGATAACGAAAATATCTCCTCATTGTTGAATATTCTTGTGACCTATGCGTTGACACATCCAGATGTTTCTTATTGCCAAGGAATGAGTGACATCGCGTCACCTATTCTCGTGACTCAGAAGGACGAGGCTCAAGCCTATCTTTGCTTCTGTGGACTTATGAAAAGACTAAAAAACAATTTCATGCCAGACGGTGCGGCCATTATGCTGAAATTTAAACATTTAGGTTTGTTGTTGCATCTTCACGACCCAGATTTTTACACGTACCTACAGCAAATAGGCGCAAACGATTTATTTTTTTGTTATCGATGGCTCTTATTGGAGTTAAAACGTGAATTTCCGTTCGAGGATGCGTTGTATATGAAGGAAGTCATGTGGAGTACGCTTCCACCAGATCCTCCGTCAGTTGAACTAGAGTTAACGGATCCAGATTATAGCGTTCATCTTTTATCCACGTCACCTTGCTCACCTACTTTCTCCTTTCAACAAACTGTTTACGCCAAATTACTGGCCATGAGACGGCACGGTTCATCGCAAAGAATGGCGGCTAACAACGAGCTGATTCCAGGAAACTCTGCAAATAACAACAGCATGACGAATTTCGATACTTCTCCCAGCGAGGAACACGGTCTCATTCGTTCTCAAGATTTTCCGTGCATAGACGATCCGATCACCAAAGCCATGCAAGAAACAGCGTCAAATATCGACAAGCGTCTGCATGATAAATCGCCCATGGAGACGGAGAACAACATGGAGAATATCAAACGGAGTCAAAATGATAAAAGTCTGACAGACGACATAAATCAGATAAATGGAATACATGAAAACCAAACGAACCAATCGTATGATAGCTCTAACGGTAACTGCGAATCTACAACGTTAACTAAGTGTTCAATATCTGTGACAGAACCGACCGTTTTAGACAAAACCAACATCGGGAACGAGGAAACGGTGGAAGAGACGGAATCGTCAGGAGCAAGACAGGAAGGAGAGGCGGGCCGAAGCCTTGAACCAGAGAGTGAACAACAAACGCAATTCTATATTTCACTGGAAGCAAGTGGGGAGACAACTCCTTCTACACCTAAACAGACGCTTAAAAATGATTCTGGAGGATTCTTCAGCAACATGAAGCGAATTATGTCGTCTCCGAAACGCAGACCAAATAATATAAGTATTAAAGAAGCGTCAAACTCGACGGACAATTCACATAGAATTAATTCTGTGACGGAGAACGCTGTGAGAAATAGTACTAGTCATTTAGAGACATCGCATTCATCTTTAGGTTCGAGTAAAATGTCGGATTCACATATTTCTGATTGTGTGGAAGCCATGGAGTCGCCTATGTCAAGTTCGCGAGCGTCGATTAAGTTACCTCCACCGGAAGATTTTGGTTGCGGGAATCCATTTTTAATGTTTTTGTGTTTAGGACTTATGTTACAACATCGTGACTATATAATGGGCAATAATATGGACTATGAGGAAGTGGCTATGTACTTCGATAAAATGGTTCGTCGACATAACGTACATAGAGTTTTGTACACGGCTAGACAATTATACTCCGATTATTTACGCGTTCAGCAGAATTTGGTGGAGAATTCTCAACATGATGACGATTCTGGTTTTAGTGTTTAAAATCTCCTTGGTTATCAATGGCAAACAATTTCTGGCTGTGAAAATGATATTAAAAATATTGCTGTTTGGATAATTGTGACTGAAGTCTTGATCATCAAGTCTTGTTCTAGAGATTTGTGATTAAATAACTTACTGAAAAACAATTCTGTAGTCTTGAACACCAAGTTTCTGCTTTAAATATTGTGATTACATGTATATCAGACAGTATTTTGTAATGATGTACATGATGTAAACATCCTCTTGAAAATGGAATCAGACTTCATGAACATGTGCTAAAAAATATATATAGAAAGGTCAAACTTTCGCAAAATGTCTCATAAAATAACCATACATGTATGTAAACCTCCATGTTATGGGCCAAAAAATTGTGTTTAATTGGTTTAATGAGTTGTTTAATATCAATTAAACGGGCTAAACCGCTAACTCAATATCATCCATTAAATTAAAAACACGAATTACTATTCAATGTTGTTTCATTTCCAGCAATATTGATGTTACCGTATCTTACTGTGAAAATATCAGATCCTCTTGTGAGTTTTCTTGGAGTCCTCCAGTTTCCTCCCACTTCTAAAGACCCCTATGCGCAAGCAAATTATTGAGATAAAATTGAACCATACATGTATGTCAGTCCCAAAATGACCTAGTTTGTGTGGAGTGGATGTTAAACCCATCTCTCTCTCTCTCTCTCTCGAAGTCCTGCCACATATTTCACCAAAAATAATTGATTAAAAATTACATAATAATGTTTTTAAAAATTGAATGTTAATAACTTTCTCTGCTGCTCAACGCTCAAAAATGGATAATAGAGTCTGTTTTTTTATTGTACGCTCTTTAGTAATGATGATCGAGGTAAGGCCTAAAATTCAATCGCTAATATCTCAGTTGAAAGTGGATCAATTTAACTTTTATAGTGAGAACTGCCAGCTAATCTTACCTACATGTAATGCCCTTTAAGTTGGGATAACACTAAGTGAACTTATAAATTATTATTTTAATCAACTACATCAATATTTGCATTCTGTAGCTTTTGTCATGTTAGTTTTATTGTCATGTCAGTTTTATCTCTTATTTCCTATCATTTCCCCCATAATTCGGTGTTAGTGTTCTGTAAGACCGATTTATGGGGGTGGGGGGGTGTGGATGGCTGAATGGTTAGCTTGTGCGTGCTGTATCATAAAGTCTGTCATTGAGTCAACTGGCGTGGTTTTGATTCCCCGGTTGTACGTGACAGGGAGTAGGGTCACCTGTCCAACCTCGTGGGTTTTCTCCGGGTCTTTCGGTTTCCTCCCACTACTAAAGACCTCTACGCCCAAGCGAATTATGGAAATAAAATTGAAAACCATATGTTAGTCCCGAAATGACCTAGTTTGTGTCAAGTGGACATTAAACCCAATTTCTCTTTCTTTCCGTTTAATATAGAACCTGGAAAACGAGAAAAAAAAGTAGGCTCCACGATTTGGGCTAGCAGAAATAGTGCAAGTCAAGCAACAGCCGGCCTGGAAATAACGAATTTACATGTACTTGACAAAATATCAAGCACTAATGAAATAGTGCCTGACATTTTCAACTTAGTGCTGGACATGTATTAATAATATCAATAAAAAAGACAAATCAGTGCCAGGCACCAGAGGTTTAGTGCCTGACAAAGCATGAATCTGTGCATGACATTGTCTGTGACTGGTGCCTTGTTTCCAGGCTTGCAACAGTAATTTTTTAGGGGTATAACGTGTACGATTCCTGTACTTACACAAGTTTTTAAGTAGGCCCGTGTTACGTATATACATGTACATGTATTATAAATGTGTTCATGTTTTTTTGCGCGAATTGTGATATACCTGAAAGAATATTTGCGATTATGCGTCTTATTATTTCTATGTGCAATCTTGTTATTTAAATTTTAAGTTTTGTGATTAATTTTTTTTTACGTCATATATTTTTTGACGTTAATGAAATATAAGATTTATGAGTATGATCTCTACTTGTGTACCTGTTTGTCAATATTGAAATAACAGTACTACAATCTCCACAACTTTTCTTCTTTTAATTTTATTAGGGGCGGATCCAGGAATTTTTGCAGGAGGGGGTTTGCCAGGTCCCTGAGACATTGTATCCTCCCCCCCTCCCGCATGGTCTCTATCGTCATTTTGGCGAATATACATACACATTGAGCTTTTTAAACAAAGAAATTCAACATGACGTCAATTTTTATTATGAATTAATACAATGATATTGTGATTAAATTTCATGGATGCAAAGCATCAATTGTCATATCACATAATGTCTATATCATTATTCCGTGCTTTGAGTGCCCATCCTGTCCCACATCTGACGATAAGGGCTAAAGCACACGGCTGAGAAACTATTCTAATAAAACTATAACTATAACTCTTGTGATCGGAGGAGGAGCCACAGTGATTCAGTGAGGCAGATGCTGGCTCCCTAACTGGGAGGTGTCGGGTTAGCTCCCAATGATGGCCAATAAATTCCTTTGGATTTTCCTGCATGGTTTCCCCTTGTTAGTTAGTGGTGCGGAAGGGACTGTCTAGTTGTTCGGATGTTATGAAAGGACCAGATTCCTGTGTACATATTATCTGCACGTAAAAGTATCCTTGACAGTTGGGAGTACAAGTAAACTGTATCTTTAATGTCTGGCAAGATTTCCCCCATTGCACACTGTATGACAAAATGACCTACTTCATTAGGGGGGGTTGAATGGCTGAATGGTTAGCGTGAGCGCTGTATCATAAAGTCTGTTATTGAGTCGAACGGCGTGGTTTCGAATCCCCGGTTGTACGTGACAAGGAGTAGGGTCGACTGTCCAACCTCGTGGGTTTTCTCCGGGGCCTTCGGTTTCCTCCCACTGCTAAAGACCCTACACGCAAGCGAATTATTGAAATAAAATAAAACCATGTTAGTCCCGAAATGACCTGGTTTGTGGCGAGTGGATGTTAAACCCCATTTCTCTCTCTCTCTCCTACTTCATTAGCCCAGTTGGTGCAGAAAAGTAGGACATTAAACCCCATTTCAGTTTTCTCTTGTTGATTATTTTAGAGGGGGGGGGGATCACGTGGCTAAGTGGGTAAGACGCTAGCTCGCTAGCCTGGAGGTTGGGTGTTCGATCCCTGCATTGGCCGAGAAAGTTCATCCAGATTTTTCGGCGTGGTTCTCCCTTGTCAGTGATGCAGGACGGAGGGGCTGACAAGGAAAGCTGTCTAGTCGTTTGGATGGGATGAAAAACCGAGGTCCCGTGTACACATTGGCGTGCACGTAAAAGATCCCTTGGCAGTTGGAATTCGATATAAGAGTAGGCCGTAGTGCCGCTGTCCGGGCAAAATTTCCCTCATAGCACACTGTATGGCGTATGCCCGTCTTCATTAGCCCAGGTTAGGAGCAGAACAGTAGGACGTTAAACCCCATTTCATTTTTATTTTAGAGGGAGCCGCGGTGACTCAGTGGCTAAGATGCACGCTCGTTAAAATGAAGGTCCAGTGTTCGATTCCTGCCTTGACTGAGAAAGTTCTTTTTCCGGCTTAGTTCCCCCTTGCAGGATGAGGGCCTGGCAAGGGACACCGTAGAGTCGTTTGGATGGGACGAAAAACCAAGGTCCCATGTACACTTAAAAGATCCCTTGGTAGTTGGAATTTGATATAAGAATAGGTTGTAGCATGGTTGTTCGGACTAAATTTCCCTCATACCACACAGTGTGGTTTATACCCATCTTCATTAGCAAAGTTGAAGCAGAACAGTAGAAAAGTAGCATTTAGTGCCAAAGCCTACTGCTAGACAATTTTGGGAGGGGGATGGCATAGTCTAGAGTGTCGAGCTCGACAGGGTCACCTCTGGCTTGCGGTCATGGTTTCAATAGGGTACTCTTATTTCCAGAGGAAAGACCCCTACGCATCCGCAAAAGCATATAAGACAACTTGTCTACGATATCACCATTGGTGGAGGTGGAAGTTAACCACTAATAGAAAAATAGAAAACGGTTGGGATGAAATTAAATTGGTTAGTTAGGCTAATATCCATTCCATTTAGAACATGCCTGTATGAATTTGTTAAATAAAACCCATTTCATTTACAAGACTCTCCAAGGATTCCTCCCACTACTGAAGACCCACACGTTCAAGCGAATTATTGAAATAAAATAGAACCATAATATGGTAGTCCTGAAATGACCTAGTTTGTGTCGAGTGGACGTTAATCTCTCTCTCTCTCTCTCTCTCTCTCGCGTGGGAGGGGGGAGGGTTGGATGGCTGAATGATTAGCACGTGCGTGCTGTATCATGAAGTCTGTCATTGAGTCAACTGGCGTGGTTTCGAATCACCGGTTGTACGTGACAAGGAGTAGGGTCGCCTATCCAACTTCGTGGGTTTTCTCCAGGTCCTCCGGTTTCCTCCCACTGTTACTATTCAATGTTGTTTCATTTCCAGCAATATTGATGTTACCGTATCTTACTGTGAAAATATCAGATCCTCTTGTGATATTTCTTGGAGTCCTCCGGTTTCCTCCCACTGCTAAAGACCCCTATGCGCAAGCGAATTATGGAAATAAAATTGAACCATATGTTAGTCCCGAAATGACCTAGTTTGTGTCGAGTGGACGTTAAACCTCATTTCTCTCTCTCTCTCTCTCTCTCTCTCTCTCTCTCTCTCTTGCGGTTATAGAACAATATACTTCAGATTTTATTATGAGCCGAGATGACAGGGGAAGGGAGGTAACCCATCATTATTAACTGGGATAGAACCACAATGTTCTCACTGCACATGACTTCGGTTAGTCATGTTCGGTCTCGGCCAACTTAATGTCATGTGGACCCTTTTCCTTGCTTTAGGTCGACTGCTTTCGCTTTATATTTTATTCAAAATTTCGTTTTACTTATCTTTAAAATTAAATGCAATCTGTTTTACAGAGGTATTGCGAAAGTCGTCGTCTAACAGTACTGACCTTTAAAACTATAAATGCCTTTTACATGTGACCTCAGATCACACGGCTTCGATCATTGGCTCGATGACGAGTGCATTCTTTTGCATAAGACACAGTAACTAAATTGATTCGGGCAGAATGATGCCCTTTACTCATTTTATGTACCCATTTACACCAAATAAAAAATATTTCTCGTTTTACGTAATTTAATCACTCAGAGGCACTGGGCACTTTCAAACTAGATAAATAGCGTGCAACATTTGAGACCAATCTGCCAAGTCATGGACGAGTCATACCCGTTTAAACTTTTAATTTTCGGGTTCCGATTTTTAACGATCGCTCCTGAAAACTGTCTTACTCCAAGAAATTCTGTGATTGACTTTTCTATTTATTTGCTTGTTGACAGTACCCATTTAAAATGTACATTTAGGAAAAACTGATTCACCGACCCTTCGAAAATACATTTAGATCCTTTTACGACTTTTCTGTCTACAGTTGTGTCTATAATCATACCAAGTCCCCGCCCACTCCCACCCCTACCACCACCTTAGATAATGATATGAAATAAAATGGAGATTAACGTCCTACTTTTCTGCTCCTATACCGGGCTAATGAAGACGGGCATACGTCATACAGTGTGCTATGAGGGAGAATTTGCCTGGACAGCGGCACTGCGACCTACTCTTATATTGAATTCCAACTGTCAAGGGATCTTTTACGTGCACGCCAATGTGTACACGGAACTTCGGTTTTTGTTCGCATCCGAACGACTAGACAGCCGTCCCAGCCGTCCATGTCAGTCCCTTCGTCCTGCATCACTGCCAAAGGGGAACCACGCCGGACACCTTAGATAACGTTTCATAAATGACGGCGATGATCGTAATAATAAACACTAATACCGTTTCTTTAAAATAATTTTAATGGAAGAGCCAGAATGAACCCCCGTCGACCGTCCCATACACAATCCTTTCCTCAAAGGGAGACTACTCAGATCTCGATAAAACCCCGTGAAACCCTCTGAATCTGCTACACAGTTTAATAGTTGAAGAATAACCGGTGACAAACAGGGGGTAATAAACGATATCCTCTTCTAGCGTATCTAATACACAACATTCTGATCATAAGAGCATTCTCGTAACCATAGTAACCGTCATCTCCATCTGTAAATAAAAATAATAACTATATAATAACTAAATCTACCTATTTTTTCTCCGGGTCTTCCGGTTTCCTCCCACTGCTAAAGACCCCTATGTGAAGCGAATTATTGAAATAAAATTAAACCATGTTAGTCCCGAAATGACCTAGTTTGTGTCGAGTGGACGTTAAACCCCATTTCTCTCTCTCTCTCTCTCTCATATCTACCTATTACAAGTCTTGGCTTCAAATGTTATAAAAATTATTACTGAGACATTTATTAACATGACAAGCCTATAATCATCGGATGGCAGAGATTTAAACGGATCGCCATTTAATGATTTAATTTAAAAATGGTGATTAACAAGTACCATTGCTACGATAATAAACACTCTATGCCATATCTTGTCAAAGCTTTGATCAGAAATGAAATGGAGTTTAACGTCCTACTGTTCTGCTCCTTAACTGGGCTAATGAAGACGGGCATACGCCATACAGTGTACTATGAGGGAAATTTTGCCCGAGCAGCGGCACTACGGCCTACTCTTATATCGAATTCCAACTGTCAAGGGATCTTTTCCGTGTACGCCAATGTGTACACTAGACCTCGGTTTTTCGTCCCATCCGAACGACCAGACAGATGCCCTTGTCAGGCCCTCCGTCCTGCATCACTGACAAGGGGAAACCACGCTGGAAAATCTGAATGAACTTTCTCTGCCAATGCAGGGATCGAACACCCGCACACGAGGCTAGCGAGCCAGCGTCTTACCCACTTAGCCACGTGATCCCCCAACTTTAAACAGTGGTAACGTTGCTCAGAATAAAGTAATTTGAATGAAAATTTCAATACATTCATTTTTCATTATCTATTGTGGAACTACGCGCGTATTATAGCAAGGACTGCCAGTTCTTTATCGAAGCTAAATGAAGGGGGTATGTTGGGCTTTGGGGCTCCCAGATTTTAGCACCTGC